GCATTACATTAGTATTTCATAGCACACTTGTTTTATGCGTATTTGGCGCCACCTAGTGTTGTGGGTTTATTGACATGTCAAAAGTCTAGACTAGAGACCTGCACTCCCGCGGGAGTACCGCGGGACACAACGCAACAGGGTGCGGCGCGGGACAACTCTTGATGGGCGAGTGCGGGTGCGGGCGGGACACAGCAGCACAAACCAGCTACAGCCAGAACACCCTAGAAACACCCTAATGACCACTCAAATAACCCCCTAACACTCATGTTTTTATCATCCTCCTAGCAACCACCTATAACACCCTATCAACCAACCAGCAATGCCCTAATGACCCAGAACCCCCTAGTAACTACTTAGCAACACCCTAGAAACCACCCAGAACACCATAACCACCTAGCAACACCCTAGCGACCCCTCAGAACACCATAAGCACCTAGCAACACCCTAACAACCACCTAGTACCCCCAGTACCCGTTTAGCAAAACCCTAGCGCCCAGCTGTCTTATCAGCCCGCCTGCAAACAACAAGTGAGGAAGAATTAATCACTCGATTTCTGGACTAAATTGACAGTTTTTGCCAACATAAGACCAAAATCTGGCACGAAAACAATGAAGTAGTATTACAGTAAATAAAACTAATTAAATAATAAAATAAATTTTAAGAAACTGTTGAAAGCACATCTAATGTTGGTAGCAAGACATTTACAATGCTTTTGAACCATACATTCTCTTTTCCAAATTAAAGTATAAAAGATGCTGTAACTGTAGTGTAAGTTCAGGAGTTGTAATGAGCCTGAGTATGAGGAGGCCTCAGCAGGGTCACGAGAGGCTGAGAGATCAGGAGGGTGTGAATTTGGTGTCAGTCAGCAGGACGTGTGAAGTGATTTCATGCCCTCTATCCATTATGCATGCGGCGAGGACTCGCTCCCTGATCTCTCTCGACTGGCACCAGCTTCCCGACACTCGGCTTACAGCTCACAAACGCTCTGCCAACAGCACCTCCACAGGGAAACATGGAGAGAGGAGGAGAAACGCCAGCATGTAAGAGCCAAACAGCACCAGAGACAGCCAGAGAGAAAGAAAGACGGAAATAAAAGGGACGGAAGACTTATTTACAGGCATGGGAAGGTCGTGCACCAGCTCGGCTCCAGCATTGAAATGTCAGATGAGTTTGTGCGCGAGCGAGCAGCTATTCTCTGTACTGTAAATGCAAACTCGCTGACACTCCAGGCGTTTAGCATTTCAATTCCTGAATGATTCGGCAGCGCTTTTGTCAGAGGTGATTTAACTCGCGTCGGTTAGCTGTGCTATTTAGAGCGGTAACTAAAGACACAGCTGAGGCCGAATCATGAGCGGGACTTTAACAAACTACGGTACTGAAACTGCAGCATTTATGATAAGCAAACGTGAGCAGGACTGTGTGTTTATGGGATGTATCAAAGCCGTCTCGTAGCCCACGGCTGTTTGATGCAGACTGCACACTAAAACAACAAGCACACAGCTTTTCTTATCAGCCCGCCTGCAAACAACAAGCGAGGAAGAACTAATCACTCGATTTCTGGACTAAATTGACAGTTTTTGCCAACATAAGACCAAAATCTGGCACGAAAACAATGAAGTAGTATTACAGTAAATAAAACTAATTAAATAAAAAAAGATCAAATAAAATAAAATTATTTTAAAATATAATACCGTATTGTCCCGAATATAAGACGATGTTTTTTTCTTGGAAATACATCTGAAAAAACGCGGTCGTCTTATATTCAGGGTCTAGACTTTGACATGTCAATATACACCCACAACAATAGGTGGCGCCAAATACGCATAAAACGAGTGTGCCATGAAATACGTAATGTAATGCGTGTTGTAAAGATCGCGAGTAAAAACAAAAGAAGCAGAAAACCTTACAGCTGCATGAGTCGTGACTGTCACGTTAGCCTGATGGGACCAAACTCTCTTTGTGATTTTAAAACGTAAGACAGTACCCAGATTTGAAGACTACAGTAAGATTTAACTTCTACTGTTAATAAGATTTTGGTAGGCTACTATTAGATGGATAGCCTAAATGTCCTAATTCAGATGGGCTACCTGTTTTTTTTTTATTTTTATGGTATATCAAAAAGTGTTTATTTTTTAAATGTGATTGTTGGTACATTTTACCATTTTTTACCATACTTTCAAAACAAAAATTAAAATAGGAAAAATATGCAATATGAAAATAACTGAAGACAAAATGTGTTTTACTGAGAAAAAACAAGATTTGGTTTTTAAAAAGCCTTTTTCCAAAAGGTACATCTGGAAAAAGGGGGGGTCGTCTTATAATCAGGGTCGTCTTATATTCGGGCCAATACGGTAATTTTATTCAGCAAGGATGCATTAAACTGACCAAAAGTGACAGTAAAGACATTTACAATGCTTTTGAACCATACATTCTCTTTTCCAAAAAAAGTATAAAAGATACTCTAACTAGTATAACTTGAGCAAAAGAAACTAGTGATAAAAACTACTTATTTCACAACAAAATGAGGCACAAGGACTCCTGGAAATACCACTGAACAATGGCTCAAATGAATCAGTGAGTTGTTTATACTGATTACTTGACATTATTCATCCGAATGAGTCGCTTTACTAAAATAAATCAGACCGATATAGAGGAGATTGTGTTTGATTACTGATCAGCTCGCTCTGTGCAACACAACGTGACATAAACAGCAAAAGCTACACAGCCTCTTCAGTAAAGCAGCTTGTTGCTGGAGAAGCTGCATTTTTCACAGATAAGCTACTGTCACACTGACAAATGTTAGGGCTATTACTTTTAGTTAACAGCCTCTCCAGCACTAGTGTGTTAGACGGACAGATTCGGTTTAGAGAGAACAACAAATCTGATATCTGATCGCATACACACTGCAGTGCACCATGGGAGGATTTGGCTGAAGACATAAACAAAGTGAGTCTCAATATGAACACAAACATTTCTCATCCAATGATCTGAGCTGCTCTCAACATTCATTTTAAAGCTCTCTTACTGGATGACAAATACTTAACTCATTTGTTTCTCTTTTAATTTCTACTATAAGAGTTTAAGACAAATATTCGATATGAAAGCTATGAACGCACAATATCGAGCAATAAAACAACAAGAAATGATAAAGACGTCTGATTGACAGCTTGCAAAACAAGCTATATGTCAGACAGGCTGAGATATGCTGTGATATTTGTCTGAAATGTCAGTTGAGTCACTTTATGTGATTATAAACACAAGCTTGAGCTTTTTTTTAAAGATGCGCCTTCAGCTGCATCTTAAGCAGAAGAAGGGGAAGTTTAAAAATGAATCAGAGTGAATGAAATCAATATAATGTGACATTTTAAATATATATTTTTTCAGAATAGCACACTGGAGAAAAATATGACATTTTGTCAAAATATGACATCACTTTTAACATTTGTATTCTGCCTTTATGATCTGAAAGACTGGGGAAAGTGATATGAAAGTCATGCACATAAAAACATTAATGAGACAGATAGCAACAGATATAAAGCATTTAAAAATAAAAACGACACACAGAGGAAAAATGAAAACTTAAGCAATTTTCACTCAGAAATTGTAGTAAATTTCAAATAATTACAAAGAAACGGCAAGTAACATATTGAATTAAAAGTGAAATTTTGAAGTGAAAAAATGGAAATCTGAAATGGAAAAATGGAAAGGATTACAGTTATGTTCCAAAGGATTTCTATTTTAAATAAATGCTGCTCTTTTCAACTTTCTATACATCAAAGAATCCTGAAAAATAAAATGTATCACAGTTTACACAGAAATATTCAGCAGTACAAATGTTTCTTGAGAAGCAAATCAGCATATTAGAATGATTTCTGAAGGATCACGTGACACTGAAGACTGGAGTAATGATGCTGAAAATTCAGCTGCGCATCACAGAAATAAATTACAGTTTAAAATATATTCACATAGAAACAGCTGTTTTAAATTGTAATAATATTTTTACAATTTTTACTGTATTTTTGATCAAATAAATGCAGCCTTGGTGAGCAGAAGAGACTTCTTTCAAAAACATTAAAAAATCTTAATTTGTCCAAAAGATTGAATGGAAGTGATTCAGTGCATGATTCAGGGACAGTCACTTTCCTTCATTATTTTCTAGCCATTTGTGCACTGAAACTGCTGCACATTATTTGAGTTTCTTCCACAATAATAGACTAGTGTGGAAGAAACTCAAATAATGTGCAGCAGTTTCAGTGTATCTCAAATAAACACGCTTGAAAACAACATCTAATATATATATATATATTAGGGTTGTGACGGTGAGGAAATTTTCCCACCGGTTAATCGACGTGTGACAACACCGGTAATACCGGTATCACCGCGGGGGCGTTCCCTCTTTTCCTCGCTTTCCTTCGCTTTTAAATAGCTTGTAAAAGCTGCGTGCGCATTTTACTTTCACTTTCAAATAGCGGCAATTCGGAGTAAAGCAATTGTTAATTTTTAGTTTGTTTGAATTTTCCCTCTTTTCCTCGCTTTCCTTCGCGGCTTAACACCGGTATAACCGTCAACACCGTCTATCGCGGCAAGACTAATATATATGATTAGTCACTATGATAAAACCGAAAAACTATGATAGTCTGCCAAACTTCAAGATTTATGATTAACTATCCCCATAGTTGTCAATCTGATCTTTGAGTTAAAGCTGAAAATGATAAAGGCATTGAGTTAGTTTGAGGTTGGACACACGACTGACAGTTTCTCAAGAGCGTCACAAATAAAAACTGCTTGACCACAATCCACCAGCCAGTCTGTGTTGTCAGAGCTAAACTCTCATCAGCCTCTCATTGTCAAGCCAATATAAAGCCCAAAGGGCTTTGCATGTCTAAAGTCTGTGATGAATTCAGCGGCTCTTAATTCCACTTGGCATTTTCTAATTAAACCAGCGTCTGTGTTTTCCAGGCCAAACTCCCGCCCGCTCAAACGCAGCTCCGGCGGCTCACTCCCCGTGTGACTTCATCAAAGCGAGACACGGCTGAGACTGATGCTGGATCGCTCGCTCTGTGTCGCTGCTGCTTCATGCTGTCGGTAGTAGTATAAAATAGTTCAATCTAGTGTCGTAAATGCAAGCTAAAATCCAGTGTTTTTTTTATCATTGAGATACTTTTATAGTTTATTTTTACATTTTACATTTCACTTCAATTGTAGTTGAAGCTTTAGTAATTTTCCTGTGTTTTTGTCATTTATAGTTTTTGTTTTATAAAAAAAAAAACATGTCTATATCATTTTCATTCATTTTTATTTCAGTTTTAGTTATTTTAGTTAGTTTAGTACTTTAAATGAAAATGAAAGTGAGACATTTTGCCTTGGCAAACAGCTGAAATATACTGTAAGTAAGTAATAAAAAATGTTTTTTATGGTTTTAGTTTTAGTTAACTACAATAACCCTGATTAAAATTATAATTATTTAAAAAATTAATAATTGAAATAAAGCTGAAATAAAATTAGATATATTAGATAAAAAAAATTAAACTTAAACTTAAATGAAAATTAGACACTGAAATAAAATACTGTAAGTCTGAGTTAAAGTGCTAAAACTGAAAATAAATCTAAAGCTTAATAGACAAAAAAATGAATAAAAGACAATAGCCTATAACAAAATTATTTCAACAATTCTAAAATTATTAAAACTAAAATTAAAATGAAAATATTTCAATAATTAAAAATATTAATAAATACGTTAATAGTAAATAAATAATACTGAAGTACTAAAATTACTAAAACTAAAGAATGTTGAATAGAAATATTTAAAAAACAAACACTAATCAAAATAAAAACAACATAAAAAAATTAATAAACCTTAAACTGAAACTAAAATGAAAAAATAAATAAATAAATACTATAATAGTACATACATAATAATAAAATAACTGGTTCAATAAAAGTGCATTACTTTACCCAATATTTGTGGTTACAGTGTATTTGTAATCGTATTAAATTACTGCATCCCTAGTCAACACAGCTTGTTGCTTGTTGCTAAGTGATAGATGCAAATATGCAAAAAAAAACAAAAAAAAACCACCATAAATACAAATATTGCAAGTTGCTAAGCAGTGTATACGTATATGATTATTGCATCCTCAGCATAGCAACAATGCTATATGTGTGCTGCCTATGTAGACTTAGTTTCATAAGGTTCCACTCTTTACAGACTGTATGCAGTAAGACGACTCACTAGGGTGCTCACTGTGAGCAGCCGTGACGAGCACAGATTCATGGATGGGTCAGAGAGTGTGGTTTTCTGCCTCTCTGTGTAACTCTAATGGGCTCGTGCTGCTCATCAGCACATCTGAGAGAAGATAATGAGAGATGATGAGCATTAATGAGCATTTCCCTCTACTCCAATACCTCTTCAGATTCAAAGAGGGATTAGACATTAAAACAACAAACAGCCTCGAACACAACACACCTCAGGAGGCTTCAGAGCTCAACAGACCAAACGCCATCAAACTCTACAGAGGGAAACTGAATTTTCCTGGGCTAACATCACTGGTTACATATGAAATATTATTAGGAGCTGTTTTTAAAGCAACTTATACACGCAGTCTTTTAAAAGTTTGAGGTCAGTGATTTTTTGTTAAATAATTAATACTGTTATTCAGCAAGGATGCATTAAAGGGATAGTTCACCCAAAAACGAAAATGTGATGTTTATCTGCTTACCCCCAGGGCATCCAAGATGTAGGTGACTTTGTTTCTTCAGTAGAACACAAACGAAGATTTTTAACTCAAACCGTTGCAGTCTGTCAGTCATGTAATGGAAGTGAATGGGAATCACATACACAAAAAAACATACACAAACAAAACCAAATTAAACCCTGCGGCTCGTGACGATACATTGATGTGTAAATACACGAAACGATCGGTCTGTGCAAGAAACTGAACAGTATTTATATAATTTTTTACCTCTGATTTTCACCGCAATGTCCGAACGGTCCTGAGCGCATCCTCGACTGCCTGCGCGTGAGGCGTCTTCTTCTTCTTCTTGCTTTACGGCGGATCGCAGACTTATAAGTGCATTACCGCCACCTATCTCTCAAATGGATCATTGACACTCGATCTACAATCTCAATTAGGAGTGTCAGTGGTCCATTTGAGAGATAATGCTGTCGAGGATGCGCTCAGGACAGTTCAGACATTGCGTGAATCAGAGGTAAAAAACTATATAAATACTGTTCAGTTTCTTGCACAGACCGATCGTTTCGTGTATTTACACATCAATGTATCGTCACGAGCCGCAGGGTTTAATTTGTGAAAAATAAAATGTATCTCAGTTTCCACAAAAATATGAAGTGACTAAAACCAGAAAAATCAGAAATGTTTCTTATATATCAGCATGTTAGAATGATTTCTGAAGATCATGTGACACTGAAGACTATGAAGACTAAATCGCGATTTGTTTAGCATCTCAACCGATTTGAATCGTCACATATTTGAATCGTTTTTCAACCGGCTCGCGGTTAATCGTTACATCCCTACTGAAGACTGGAGTTATGATGCTGAAAATACAGCTTTGATCACAGAAATAAATTACTTTTTAAAATATATTCACACAGAAAACAGCTTTCTTGAATTGTAATAAAATTTCAAATTTTTACTGTTTTTCCTGTATTTTTGATCAAATAAATGCAGCCTTGGTGAGCAGAAGAGTCTTTGTTCAAAAACATTTTATACTAACCCCAAACTACAAAAAATATCTAAAATATATATGAATAAACCATGCATTATTTTTTTTTCTCCAAAAAATAAATAAATAAATAAAAGATATACTTTAACTCCTTCACACTTATAAAATCTGTTTTCCTGAAAATAACGATCAATGAAGGACCTCAACTACATATTTAAATGAGCACAATTCGACAACAAGGTTCAAAATATCACATAAATCCAAATGTTTTCATTTGCAAGGCATATAAACACACACACACGAACCACTTGAGAAGCCTCACTAACACTTGGAGACACTGTGAGATTTCATGGAGATGTGGGTGTATGACATCATTCATATGTGCAGGCATTATGGGAAAGAGATCAGAAATCATAAACAAACTCCAGCTTTCAGATGAGTTTGGGTTTCTCACATATTTACAGCTCTGTCTCGCTCAGACAGACTTCCAGCGCTTCTCATCTCACACACCCACACAGACCAGAATGAAGCGGCTCTCCTATTCAGACCGGTTTAAATCTAATCCGGTTCTGAAGCAGCGCTGACATTTACATGCAGGAAAATCTGTGGGAGTCAAAACCACCCACAGCAAAGACGAACCACACTCTCTGTAATATATGCTCCAGACAGCGATGAGATCTAACGTAGAGCAAGCAGAGTCAGAGATCTTAAAATTAACCCAAACATTTCTTATCCGATGATCTGAGCTGCTCTGCATTCGTTTTAATGCTCTAAACTCTTACTGGATGATAGGGATTGTTGTTATTTCTCCTGATGAATTTTAGGAGAATCATCTAAAACACACTTACATCTGAGCCTCCACTCATCAAGAGGAGTAATACAAACACACACAGGTCAAAGGTCAAACCATAATCAATGCTCACACTGTATATCACAACTGATTTGAGATCTTTTGCTGTGAAACAGCAAGTAAACTCATTTCAAAGGACATACTTCAATATACCACAATTAAATTGTATTCTGTTTTTATTTATTGTTGCTTTCACAAAATCATAAAGATATTCATGCCAATAAATTACTTTGAAATATGACATTTTGAATTCAGTGTTGTTAATGGTAACTAAAAAGTATTTAAAATATTTTTGTTAATTTAAATAAATCTGAAATAAATCAATATATAAATATATATATACACACACACACACACACACACACACACACACACATAAAATATATACACAAACCAGGATGCCTTCATTTCACTTCACAGCT